AAATTTAATCTTTACAGAATAAATTTATTCTCTATTTAATTTTTTAATTAATTCTTTCAGAAGAGAAAATTTTTTATAATCTTTTTATTAAGAAATAAATTTCATATCTATCGAATATCACAAAATAATATTTCATTTTTTTCTTTGCAGATTTCGATGACGCTGAAGACATAAAAGTGTCCAAGCGCGATTGCCCTGGCCAATATGTTTATAAGAACATTTGTGTGGACAGCTGTCCATTTAACAACGTTGTTACAAATGGCAACTTCTGCACCTTTCGTCGGTTGATATAACGTTTTATAAATATAATCACTAGAGCGCTAAATTTGGTGTTTTTTTTTTATTGAAAAAAGGACTAGCGAACAATTCGAAATTAAGTTAAATAAAAAAATGTTATCATTATATTTTTTAATTGTGGTAATAGAATAAAAAATAAATTCATGCATAAACTTTTCCAACTTTTTTTAGTTTTTTAATCTAATTCAAAAAAATTATTTAAAAATATTTCAAAAATTCTTTGTCGCTCTGTTGGCTCGTGCTGGTCAGTAACTTTCTTTTTTACAGATTAAATTTATTCTTTATTTCATTTTTTTGATTAATTCTTTCAAAAGAGGTACCTTTTTTATAAACTTTTCTTAAAAGAAATAAATTTTATATTTATCTGTGTATATATTGATATAACGGTTTATAAATATAATTACTAGAGTGCAAAAATTGAATTGAAAATAAAAAAAAGTTTACAAGTCGAATATAACCAATAATAATTTTTTTCAACTTACTTTCTTTACTTTTTCCGTCTAAATCGACCCTTATTTTGATAGAAAATTGGCCAAATTGGTTGCCCAATTGGAATGGCTCTAAAGTCTAAACGTATGATTCTTCTTCGAGCCACTATCATTTCTGTAACGTTATGTTAAGCTACTACTTTGTTATACCAATTTTTATTCATGGAATGATGTGATTTTTGAAAAAGATTTCTGTGTCTATAGATTATTTTCTTGATTATTCTGTTTTTGCAAATAAATTCATAATCATAGAGAAACTGAAATTTTCGTCAAACTTGAAGAGAAAATATTTCGTTGTGGTTTCAATGGATTTTCTGAAGAATACACGAAATTAAAATTCTAAACAAAACGATACGAAGCAACAACTCAAAAAAACTCCATCTCCTACTTTCTGAGTTTCATTTCGTCGACACGTGTGTCAAATAAAGAGACGTGAATATTTAGATCAGGCAAATGACTGCACCCACACACACACACCACGCACACATGCACGTACACAGACACATACATACACATACACACAGACATACACAGATAAGCAGATACACAGATAATCAAATATATATACCTACTATACAACCATCATGTGTCAAAAAGTCTAACATTTTAAAGACGTGCCTCATTAATGTTCAACTTCATTAAGTTTGTTAATAGGCATAAATATATGTAGAAAAAAAAATTCAGATGTATATTTATATATAAGTTTATCTGTGTGAGTATGTGCGTGTGTGTGTCTCTCTCTCTCTCTGTATGTGTGTGTGTGTTGTGTGTGTGTGTGTGTGTGTGGTACAGTCATTCGCCCAATCTAAATAAAGTTTCTTTTTTACTTGTTGTTCATCAGGTCAAACTGAATAGAAACTAATTCATGATTGATGTTAAAGGTTAAAGGTTAAAGGTTACTCTCTCTCTTTTGCGCTGACTTCAGAGGTTTCAACGACAACACACACAGCGAACCACGCATCATACACATTGCATATGATAGGCGGGGATCTCTTTGTATTCGAACTCAGTCATTGCAATAGCAAGACCAGGCGCCTTTAACCATTGAGCCATCACGCCGCTCGATGTGTTACACGATTTATTACAATATTGACATCCAACATACCTTTATAATTCAACTGACAGCTAATCATTTCAAATTTGTTTCATAACACACTCGTCAGATATCATTAAACTATTAAGCATTTTTATATTCATCAAAGAGTTGGATAATTTTTGCGAACGTTTGTCACATTTTGCCTTTCCTTTTTTCTCGCCTGCCAAGTATCGCTCCGCTGATGAAATTTGTTTTCAACTATATTATGTTGTTGAAGTTTGGCTGAGCATTTAAAAAAATTGATAGTGTGATATTACACGAATTTTATTAATTTGTTGTTATGGTACAGTTAAGGGCAGCAGAATTGAAGTGAAAAATTAAATTATTCAGTGACAATTTGACTTGACAAATCATCACGACAATTACTGAGTTAAAAACCCAGCAATAAAAATGTTAAGTTCCAAACGCAAATTTAAAAATATTTCACTAAAATGTTTTAAGCGCCACTGAGTTTCGAGAACTCAACCGAATGAACCATTCAACAGGTAGAATTTGGACCACATTCCACAGGGTGTTCGCTCAATTATTCAACTGCTCAATTTCACCTTGCTCTATACGTAAGTATTTGCCCGAAAATTTTAGAAACACATCATCGTTGACAATTATCATCATCACGAGTTAGATAAACAAAAAATCATAAATAATTAATAATTAAATAATGAATAAATAAACAACAATAATAAAATAATTAAAAAATTAGTAATAAAAGTATTGAAATGAATGTTTAACATTGGCAGAATTCAACACTATATTGGTACAGTATACATCCGTACGTGTTGGCTTTTTGTAGCAGCTTCGAACACAGTTATACATACTATTATTAGTTTTTAGGCTTTGTTTGTTGTAAAGAACTTTAGTTGACAACCACCAAACAGTCTGATAAATTTTACCTAGTTAGTTAAATAAACTCTATATTCTATATTCTTGTACATTGATTCATTTAAAAACTTGTGCTAATATATTTGCAAGATGATAGAAATTCGTGTCACTTGAGTATATAAAGAAGCAGTATGTTCGAAACCAACTCTTCAAATATTCAAATTTTCTTGGGTCTTGTCAAATTTTGATATTGCTAGAAAAGAAATGGTATAATTTATTCAAGAGTTTTTAACGTAAGGTTAATGACTTATCATACTTGAATAAATTCGTTATTTTTACCTGACTGGTTGTCTACTCTTGTCGATAATTTTTAATTTTTTATCTTAATTTTATTGTCAAAGCAGCTTTTGTTCATAAATATTAAATTATTTAATTAACTTGTCTAAATTTTCTCATCATTTGTTAATATGATTATGATTAAACATTTATAAAAGTACCGGCGTATAGTAAAGTGTATGATGAACCTCTAAATAAATACATATTAAAAACTCTTAGTGTTAGAACTCCATCAACATGGAACTGAAATAGATGTTCTAGTATTGGTCATTTTCCTATGAAATTGTTTAGGAATATTTTATACTTTTTTCATGCTACATAGATGTGTAGTAACTTTAATTTTTTCATTTGCTAAAAGCGTTCGGCACTTTCAAAGCCAAAATTTTAATTTTTTTTTTCATTTTTATCATTCTCTATAAATGATGTTAGGCTTTTTGTGTGTGTGTTTTTTTTGACTCCATCTTCTTCCACTCTTAACCAAACTGTTACAATTTTTTCAATCCCCATGTTAACAATACTTCTCAGTTTAACTGGTGACTTAAGGTAAGTAAGATTGGTGAGGACAAATGGGAAATTAAATCTGCATTTTAAATAGGAACTATGTGAACAATTGCTATTTTGATTGAATATTAAATATGGAAATTTTCTAACGGTTATTTTATTTTTTCACTGGTTTTATTTCAACTGGCTAACCCAATAAAGGAGTCGAGTTTATAGTATAAAAATATTCAAAAATAAGTTTTTACGCTTCTACTTGTGATTTACAGAATATAAGACGTGTCTCACACATGGATATGATAGATATGGCATAAAAATTAATTATTTACAAAAATTGTTTTTTGTTCTTTGGATCAATCATCGTCGTTGTCTTCTTCAGCAACGTTAGCAATCAAACATTACCAACTTATGTTGCTAGTTTTTTAAAGCGAAATTCTTTTTTGGTAATAACTCAACTACGGAAGCTAAGACGATAATCGAATACTAGACGATATTCTAAACATAGATAAAATACTAAATGTTTTTTAAAATTAATTTTCATTGATGTTTTTGGTTCTATGGATCAAGATTTTTAGCAAAAATTTATTTTAACCGATGTGTGAATATAAATATATACATATGAGATTTGCCATATCCATAATACATATATATGGTTTCACAAGCAAAAAATATATATTTTCAATTTTTTAATTCCATTTGTTCACAAAAAATAAAGTGAAAGAGTCAGCCAAGCAATAAATGCTTATCTAGGATTGACTCCCATAAAACAAGAAATAACATAGTAAATAATCCAAAAAATAACACAATAACATAAATGAGTAAAATAAATGTTTTTTAAATTCTTCAATGTTCTTTAATTTTCATGAACAAACTTCGAAATAAAACATTGATACATTTAAACTTAAAGAATGAATAAAAATAAAACATTAATTAAAAATTCAACTGAAAAACTCAAAAACTCAACGATGGCAAGGTTTAAAAAATTCTGCATATGAAACACTCGTAAATTTCAAATGCGTTGTTGACAAACTGTTCAAAACATCAAAAGACGAATTTAAATTCAATGACTCCAGAGAGGTTTAATTTCAAGTTCGGTAAAAACTACTTGTGTATATATAGACAAATGTATGTATGTTTGGGTGTAAAACAACTATATTAACAATTCAGACTCGCCGGTTAAAATTATCAAACTCATTTGCCATATCAAACTCTAATATTTTTTAAAAACAATTTTCAACCAAACAGGTCTAATTATTCATTATTATTTTCATATTTCATTACATTTAACATATATCCTAAACAGACTTATAAAGCTTTCTAAAAAGACCGATTTACAATTTTTTCAATTTTTATAAAATATGAAACATGAAATTATATGAAACAATATGGAATAATTGCAAATAATACAAAAAAAGAAATAAGGTAAACTTAAAAAAAACTTTTATTTTCTTTTAAATTCAGGAAGCATGCAGGCTGCAATCATCGTTTTCGCTTCTTGCGTTTTGGCTGTCCTCTCAGTTGGAATTCCTGGTGGATGGATAGACGCCGATGTGGAATCCGAAGACGTCATCCAGGCAGCTGAGAAGAGCATCCAGCTATTTGATCAGTCGAGATCTGACAACGTTGTTCATAATCTTCTAAAAGTTATCTCGGCTAAGACTCAGGTGATTTTTTGACGTAGATGGTGTGGTGGTAAAGTGTTTGGTCACTCTGCTGTAGTGATCGGGTTCTAAGGCAAAAGATGTATCCGTTTATTATGTGTATGAGACGTTGTTTAGCACAATGCCCGTTGTCTGAAACTTGGAGGTTGAATCTAGTAGGCTAGAGAGCTAAACATATGCTGCCTACCTACAAATTAAAATTTTCTTTTCTTTTAAAAAGCATTAGTTTTTTGTTAGGAGTAATAAGAAACTGTCTGTTGTTAGTTATTTTGTTGGTGTTATTTGTGATTGGCTTATTGGCTAGTGGTCATAACAAAATTGATTACTTGAAATAATTTAAAGTATTTTAGAGTAGTTATTTGTTGTTTGAGAATAATTTTGTGGAAATGTTTATTTGTGGAACAAACTAATTTAATTAAATATTTTAATTTAAAAATTGAAACAAATTAGACGCGTATTTGACTCAATGATGAAATTAAAGGTTCACTACACCATAAGCGTTTAGGACCACCTAGATAAACTTGGTTTAGTTTAATAAAAAAAACTGTTTTTACGTAACTTCTGAACCATTTAAACTCTTACTATATTCTATTGTGGTGTAATTTTTCATAGTCCTTTACAAGTTGAACATCGTGCAACTGCTTGTTGCGTGAGAAAATAAATTTTCATTTCGGCAAGGTTGTTGCTGGGATCAATTACGATTTGGTCGTTCAAGTTGGTCTGATTGATTGCTTAGCCGGAGATCTCAAAACTGACGTAGAATGTGTCAAGAAAGTAAGAAATTTTATTTTTGCTCATGACAATTTACAATTTTATAATTTTTCCAATATCTCAAATTTTATCTATTTCGTAAAACATGACGATTTTTATTAGGTTTCTTGACTAAAGTATGAATCACTAATTGAAAATCCTATTTGTAATTTTAGAACAGAAGACATTTAATACTAACAAAAACTTCTAATAAACTGATATTCTACCAAAACATAATTTCCAAATCAAAAGGAGTTTCTAGTTTTTTAGTTTGATATATATTTTTTAGAGTATCATATTTTTGTTATGATATTAGTGTATTGTATTATTAGTAATTTATAAATTTAAGATATTATTAAGTTTATAACTTTTTTTATGAACTTTACAAGAATTGTAACTTTAATTTTCACATAACTCTTACAAACAGACTGGCGTTTGCAGTTTTCGCCTGTTCGTCCAGTCATGGACCAACACCAACGAGTTGCATAAAATTTCATGCAAAGCCGATGATTAAATGAAAAAAAGATTTTTTTATTCATACGTTTTATTTTATCACATTTTAAAAGAACAGTACTTTTCGAAATTGTTTAAAATTTGATAGTATTCTATTATATTTATTCGTTATGTAAAGTATATTTGAAGACGATCTAGAATAAGGAAAATATTGACTTGGAAATGACCTTTTGATTCATTAGACATTTAAAATAAATATAATTACTAAATAAAATAGAAATTTTGCAGGTTAAGTTTTGTTCAAAGATATTTTGCTGTAAAATCAGTCAATCGAAAACTGATCTGAAATAGAAACAAAAGCATGAAAAGCATATATTAGTACAATGTTTGAACAACGTAAGATAAAAATTATCTAACGAATAATTCCCATTGTTAAACTAGTAAATACCAAATATTCAATTTTAAAATCTATTTGTAAAACCCATTTTTGGGTTTAATTAAATGCTAGAGACAATTTCGCTAATACGGTTTTTGAAACTGAGAATGAAGTATGATTGAACCATTAGTGAGAAATTGATTAATATATATAAGACATAAAATATATGTTATTATATGAATGCAAATGTTCTCAACGACGAACGATTCTAAAACAAATTCATTCGACAGACAACATGTAATTCCACTAAGCTAATTTTATAACTAAGTTCTATATGGCACTTCGCTAAAACATTTTGATAAATTTTAAAATATAAATATTTTGTAAAAATGTTTTTATAGACACAAAAATATTTGTTCAATATTTTTAGGAATTGTTAAAATTAAGGGAAAGAAATGTACCAAAATATAATAATAACCACTCCAAATTAAATGCGTACTGGCTCGATCATAAAAAAGTACATTTTAGTTGTTTTCAAAAAATATTTCTACTTAAAAATGTAAAAATAAAATTTGTCTAAGTAAAATTACAATGTTTCATTACATTAAAAACAGTTTCAAAAACAATTTCAAAGTATTCAAAAACACTTGGAATCAAATTTATCACTCGTTGGCTTAAAATTTAATTTTCTTACACTCAATGTTAGACTGCTGTCAAACAATAAAACAATATCTAAAATAAAAAAAATAATTAGCCACTGATTTGAATGTCGTTAAACTGTGTAACACACAAACTGTGTAACACACAACGGTTATAATAGGAGGAAGTTTACAATAACAATAACATGAGCCGTGATAAAGAACAAAGCGTTCACGATAATATAAGGTGTGCAACTTTAAAAGCAAAATTTCTTATACACTAAACATAGATATATGATTTTAAATTAACAAAGCAATTGACAACATGAGATACAGGATAACATGATGTTAACAAATTCGCCTCTTAAAGTTATTTTAATTGCATCCAAAGTTTTAACAATAATTTTAGACTATAGGCTAATATTTTTTGCTTTTATTTTCATTATTTACCATGACTACCATCATCATCATCATCATCACCACCACCACCACCATCATCATCATCACCATCATCATTATTATTATTAAAAGTAGTAGTAGTAGTAGTAGTAGTAGTAGTAGTAGTAGTAGTAGTAGTAGTAGTAGTAGTATTAGCAGTAGTAGTGGTAGTAGTAGAAATAGTATTCTAACTATTAGTAATATTTATTTTTTTTTCCATATCCCAAGGGGTAACAACCCTTCACATGCAACACTGAAAATGAATCAAAGCATCCAACAGACTGCATTTGACAGGCGGATAACTCTCGGCATTTGAACCCAGTCACTCCGACAGCAAAACCAGACGTCTTAACTATTTCACCATCGAGCCACTCATCTCATTAATATATTAGCTAAATCTAAAACTAGATAAGATTAATGAAATATTCTAATTATAAATCTACCATTTTCCATGCGACATTTTCATTATAGCATTTAAATAAACTTATTTTGCATTTATTTATTTTTATTTATTCATTCATTCATAGTTTTTCATTGGCGAGGATCAGCCTACAGTTCAAATATTAGTTGCTGTCTCACAGACCACACAAAAAGATTTCGAACATGCAGCTCCAGTCACATAAGGACCTAGGAAAAATTTTTTTATTGTAAGTTGATTTGAATTTTTGTTTATTTTAAGCCTGATAGAACATTTAAGCACAATAGAACAAAAAGTTTTTTTCGGTATTCGGTATTTTTGGTATTTCGGTATTCGGTTTTCAAATTGATAGGTTGTGTATGTGGCCAAATGCTCATGCATATATGTACCGTTGTAACCTTTGATTCTCGTAACTACCAAAACCTTACAACTTCAAAGATCACTATATTTCGAACACCAGTGTTGTAGCTTCCAATGATCGTCAAGTGTTTGTTGTTCCATAGGTTCAAGATTTTCCATAGATGAACACAACTGCTTCAAACAAAAATTTTGTTGGACGGTTTTTTGAGTACCAACAGTAATAGAAATATGAAACTAATCCAAGTAATTACATAAATCACATTTACGACTTTGCTTTCTTTGCTGGAAATTTGACTACAAATCAAACTGCACAGGACGTATGTATAGTTGAGATTTTTAGCATCGATAGCATGACGTTCATTGCTTGGAGTAGTATGTATATATTGGTAGCTTTCGTTTTCGTTGGTTGTTTGGACAGTATTTTTTATGGCTATTTTCGTGATTTGTTCATCCTGTTCGAAAGCAGTTGACAATTAATTCTTATAATATATTACTATGTTAATTTTGTTATTATTATTAGTTGCATTGTTGTTGTTGCTGATTTTTTGTTCTCTGCGTTCTATTATCTTCTGGATCATAAAAATTTGTATCCATTGTTAGTGAGCATTTTAGTGACTCTATCTAACTCTGTTTTCCTACCTCCGTATCATTCTTAAATGTTCTATTGTGATTAGAATCAGATGTTTTGAACGGAGGACAAACAAGACTTCCATGACTTGCCGATCTCATCCTATTTCTTTCAGGAACATTCGAAACCGAGTTTAACATTTCTTTCAAGTAGGCCGGTTACTTACCAGTTAGATTGATTTTTTTACCATGAAAACTATTTTAAATCGTATTCTGCCCTCTCGCGATAGCCAATGAACGTTTAGTTTATTAAAATTCATAATAAACTTATTTTCCGAATTCATGCTGCAAATAAGGCCATATTTTGATTCCGAATGAATCATCATCAGTGCTTTTTGCTGTTATGATGCTATTATGATGCTATCGATGAAGAAAAAGAGACCAAAGAAGATGACCAGCCAATAAAGAAACCTGACACCTAATTTCCATCTAAGTTCACTTTGACAAAGTCAATCTCCATCTAAATTCATTTTGACAAAGTCAACATTTCCCTATATAAACAGCAGAAAGCACTGATGATGATTCATTCGGAATCGAAATATGGCCTTATTTGCAGCATGAATTCGGAAAATAAGTTTATTTTGAATTTTAATAAACTAAACGTTCACCAAAAAACTTTAGTGAGAAAAATTGAAAAAACGAACTACAAACATATTAATGCCAAACATTCGGTAGAATTTATAGAATATTGTAAAAATATATATATGTATAAATATGTAAATATATATACAAAGTGTGCATGCGTGTGCGCAGTGGTGTGTGTGACTGAATATGTGTGTATGTATTTGTATTTAGGTTATGTTGAAATAAGAACTCAAATCGTTTATATTTGCGGCAAAAATTTGAAAAAAACTTTACTTGTGCTAGAAAAAGACAAGCAGCTAAAAGTAGAAGTTTGAATTCCGCTGACCAAAATGGTCAAATTATTGGGACCGAACCAGAAGTAATCTTCCGAAGTTGAGGATCTGTTTAGTCTCGATCCGCCGGTCCAAGTTGTTGATTCTTGACACGTGGCTGCGTTCGTTAACGTGAATATATGAGTTGTCAATTATTTAAATTGAACATGTTATCGTCCTAAAACAATTTTCAACAAAAGTGTTTTTGAAGAATTTTAAAAGTTGAAAATTAAATTGGTTATTTTAATTTATTTATTTAATATGAAAATTTGAAATAACGTTCAAGTTGAAAATAAAAATTGTTATGTTACATTTAAAAAAACTTTTCAAACAATTTTTTAGAACACTTTCTGGGTATTTATAAATTTAATTGGGAAATTGATTTTAAAACAAATAGGTACTGGATATAGATTTGAAGTAACTGATCACACTGGTGGCTTTAACAGCGGAATCCACTATGACCATAGACGTGTTGGACCTCAGGGCAGAACAGTATTTCAAGCCGCTCTCCCATGTATAACTTAGCGAAGGAATAAGTAACAAACATGTTTTGATGAGTGGCAAATATCTAAATCCTTGAGGGCAAATTCCTAAATGAAAAACGGACGTAAATTTTTTTCGGGTTGTTATTTGAAGTCAGAAAAATTTTCAGAAAATTTTGACTTAAAAAAAAACTAGAGTAATGACACGTTTTTGAGAGTGCTTATTACATTAGTATGAGACATGAGCTAATCATGTCAGTTCAGTTCAAGTTATTAAATTTTTAAGAATTTAAAATTTCATAATTTGAAACACTAACCAATTTTTCTGAAATTAGTACAAGTGGGAAGGTTAACAGAGCTTGCTTCAGTCCAGACTTCAAAAATTTCGCACCTGCCATCTGTCGGATAATAATTCCCCACCAAGCAATTCATCTGTGCATTGGTGAGGCATGTGAGACAGCAATCAGTTTGGCTGGTAGCAATGGAGCTGAGGTTGGTTCCAGAGGCACACCTGTAAGCTGTGCGGGTCGAGTTGTCGCTGAACATGTAACTTCTTGGCTGCAACAACAATTCAGTGGCCGCGATGTTGATGATGAAAGTGAATAAACCAACTACCGAAGAAGTTGAAACGGTTTTATGAAACAAAATTTTGACTAAGCAGTCTGTCGACATGTCTGAAATGTTCTCTGAAAGCAACGCTTTCAACGTTGAAATAGTGCAAATGCCAGAAATAATTTTTCCCTGGGTAGGAAACAATTCCGTTCTACTATTGACGTCCACCTGATAGATTAATGTGTGTTAATGTTTTTTTTTGCAAAAATAAATGAAATGTCAAATGGAAAACAAAAAAGACTACCTGTAAAAGTTTAACACAATTGGTGCGTTTATTAATAATTGTTTGTTCAGTTCATTTCCTACTCTTTCATTCAATGTTTTTCAGTGCATTTAAACGCTACATGCTTGCTCGCCTGTTTGCTTGTTGGTGTTTAAATTTTTCAGGAAGAATGTTTTTTGTTTAAATAAATGTGTGTGTATGTGATGTTGGTGTTTGGGCATATGTGAATGAAATACTTGCTTGGATATGAAGGTGATATGGTGTGCGTTATTGTACACGTGTAAGGTTTTACCTGTCTTCCTTTTTCAAATGATTTTAGTTTTAAATTTTTTTTTCAAAATTGCTGTTATATTCTGAGCAATAAAAATAAATAATTGCTGTCCTTACGGCTATACGTCCGTGTTGCGTGTATTGCGGGTTATGGTGAATAAAGGCTCTTTTGTATTCAATTTCTATAAGCGACTTCTATTTCGTGTTTGGTGCTTGGTTGAACGTGTTTTAACAATAAATTTTGGTTTTAGAATTTTTCAAATTAACAGTCTAAGTTAACATTAAATACGTGTATGCATGTATGATGCTAATTGAAGAATGAACATCAGACAGTTCTAAAATACATGGTGATCAAGGCGGTTCAGTTGATGACGGGATTAAATATTTATATATCAAATGTTTGGGCTTCTGAAATAGTAAAACTGGCAAATTAACGTTGAATTCAACATTTTTATGTTGTCTCAATGTTCGTTTTAGAATTTTGTTGTCATACCATACGTTGAAAAGGGGAGATCAGACGACTGTTTCATCATTGAGTTATGGTCCTGAAATTTATAGTTTTTCAAAATTTAAGATAATTTTCAGACGTTTTAATGTAGGATTCGAAAATTATTTTGTCGTTTGTGTTTAAGGTTTAAAAATTAATTTTGTTGTTGTATGTGTAAATTGTTGCGTGCATGTATGTGTTATTGTGTGTGTGTGTGTGTGTGTGTGTGTGTGTGTATTTTTGAGTGTGTGCCGGTGGCTTCAGTAGCAATAAGCTTGGTAGGGGATGGTCTGAAGCTGAATCTTATCGTGATTGTGAGAGGTTTTATGGCCAAGTTTGTTTGATTATGTTTTCTCATCTTATCATTATCGAACACCGTTAACACAGAATTCGGGATCTTCGATCAGTTCCAGCTTTAATGTTTTTTTGAGTGTCAAATTAATCTTTTTTTTGAATTATCGTTGTAATGAGAGTTATGTTCAGTTTTGATTTTAATTCTATTGTTGGGCCTAACTTGAAGCTAATGTTCGGTACTGGAATTAGGTACAAATTTACAACGTTATCCATCCCAGTCATTTTGCTTAAACATTATTATATTTCCACAGAAGTTTTTGACCAATATCAGTTGTTTGTTCATTGTTTACATAGATATTTAAATTCATCTTTCGTGAATTTTTAATTAGTTCTTCGGAGTTCGAGATGAGATTTTCAGTGATAAAAAAATATTATAGCCATAATGAATGTATAAACGTGACTTGTATAGTAGTTTTCTCCGTCCATGGCTGCAAACAAACATGCGTGACTACAAGCCATTTAAAGGTTTTCGAATGTGATTTAGTTTGATGACAATGCATTTCATTCCAGTAGCAAATAATATATTGGAGAGGAAAGCAAAAAAGCAGTTAATAGCATTAGCAAATATTGAAATGAGTCAAGTGGAGAATACCTTTGGTTTGTGGTTTTCCAGCCGAATACTTTAAAATAATATTGGTTTATAAAATACAATGCAAAGGTTAGTAGGTATGAGCGTCCCCTACATAGGAGGCAAAATTGATTACGCAAAATAAATTTTACTAAAATTTTATAGCAACTACATTTTTGCGAATTTTAAATAGAAGAAAGGAAGATGAATCAAGAGGACAAAAAACACATCACAATAAATGTTCATAAAGTTAAAAAAAATTGAAGAGTGATTTCAAAATTTGATCATTATGATTCACGAAAGATCCATGATCTAAATATTAGGGCGTGACTCACAAACCACGCATTTCTCTGTTGAGCATGGAAATCCTTGCAGAGTAGCTTTGCAATAATAAGGAAAAATACCAATGAATTGTTAATATATTTGTTAAATCATTTGAGATATTCTTTTTTCTTCTCAAAATTATTCAAAACCTCTTTGTTTCACGAACACAAAATATAATTTTAAGACACTCAAAAACAGCAAATGAAATTACTATTTGGTTTTGAAGTTAGGACAAGACAGCTTCCAGTTGATGAACTTGGAGGTTGTAAAATTGCTGGATCCAACTTGATGGAGCTATCAGGAAGAATCCAGTAGAAATCTCCATACGCTGATGACCTGTTAAATCTCGATCCACCGGTCCATGATACACATTGGTCGCTAGACGCACTGCAAGAAGCTGTTTTCACAAATTTTATTTTGTTACGACACTCAGTGTTTCCAGAGTGTCGGATTCGGATGCCGAAAATGGATTTTGGTGTTGGCAACAAATTTCGCCAACTCCGACTTCGTAATTCCGACAAAATTTTTCACGAATAAAGTTCCGACTTCAGTGCCATTTCAGAATGCGTAAAAAAACTTAAAAAAATGTTCTATCTTATCGTGAGCACCATTGTCAAGCCTGAATTATACAGCCATCATTTTTATTTAATTTGCACTTGAAATATTAACAATTAGACAATATTTTAAAATATGGGTACGATACTAGTTTGGAAAATTTTATTAGGCAACAAATCGTTTTGCCCTTTAAAAAGTTACGGCGTGATATGTTTTGCAGTATTTGTTACCGGTATTAAAAGTGACAGCGTGTTAATATAACTTTTATAAACAAAACCATTTTCAGTATTTTCCTAAACTAAAGTTGCAAGAAGAATATCCGACTCTAGTAAACTAAAAAAATAATTCAGTTGGGTTTTTGTATCAGTGTATAAACTTTCAAAAAGGTGCACTGCCGGCTGCTATAGGCTTTCAAACAGTAAATTTCATTAACAACACTTAAGGGCTCACACAAGAGCTATTAGCAATAAGGCTCGCTGCTATAGGCTTTCAAACAGTAAATTTCATTAAAAACCAATAAGGGCTTACATTCCTGGCTCTTCACAAAAGTTAAAACACTGGCACATTTCTTCAGAGTATCCAAAACTGCCATGCGGAAGTTTGGTCCCAAATTCCTACAGCCAGTTGATCCTGCTTTCCACGTGTGAAAAATTTGATTTCCAGACCTCAACAGAATCACGCACGATTTGAAAAGTGATAGGTACTTGGCTCCGGGCGGGCAGATGTCTGGATATAAAGTGGAAACATGAATTTAATCTGTGGAAGGAAATTAGTCATATAGATAAGCAATTGGATTTATAATTCAAAAAAAGAAAAATTAGTTCTTAATAAATTTCGGATTATAAATTTTGCAGATTTCATCATTGGCGATATTGGTTATGGTTTTAAAGACCATTAATTACTTTTCAAATATTTTTACTTGGAATTCCCAGCATTGGAATAATATCATTTAAAAATATTTCATGTCAAAACTGAGTTTACTGACCAATTATTTTGAAACTGAAGCAAGGTTGAGAAATCGTTGCACCTGTTTCACTCCAGACTTCAAAAATGTCACACCAGCCATCTGCCGGATAATAATTTCCTGCCAAACAATTCATCCTTGAGTTAGTGAGGCATGTGAGGCAGCAATCAGTCTGGCTGGTAGCTATGGATCTGAAGCTGCTTCCAAAGACACAACTGTAAGCTGTGTGGGTCATGTTGTCTCCATACATGTAACTTTTCGGCTGGAACAACAATTCATTGGCAGCGATATGAACCACAAAAACAAGGCTTCCGACTATCATGTACATAATTGCACTAAGACAAAAAGCTAATTTGAAATAATCATTCATATCTTGATAACGTCCCACTACGGGAAAACTTGGTCTCTGGACGCTAAACAATGATTGGTTGATTGATTGATATCTTGATAAATTTATTGAAATTTTATAGACTACAAGAACTTATCAACTAATGTCAAATGGAGACATTTTAAGGTAGGTGTTAGGTTTGAGATTCAATGAATGAAGCGTTTTCTCCTACCTTGACAACGCACCATTGAATTTAAACGTTTAACTTTCACCTGAATCTCATGCGGTTCCACATATAAAATCAATTCTGGCGTGTTTTGATGTTAGCATTTGAAAAAATGAATTAGAAAAAAGTAAAAAAAAACAAATTTAAACTTTTTGAAATGAAAAAATGAAAAAAAAACAAAAAAAAAAAAAATTAATTGATTCGTTTTCTTCGACTGTATCCGTGGATCCTAACTAATCACATGTGGTGTATGTATGTGTGTGTGTGTACGTGGTTATCATTCTCTGTGTACTTGTTGTCGACACCTCTAAGAAAATGTTGAATTAGAGAAATAGAGAAGGATTTATTTTAAATTGAATTTATATTTTAAAAAATGTTTTGGGTTTACTAGTCTAGTTTATTTTGATTTTGTTACAATTTGATCCAGTGCTAAACAGTGAAGGACCTAGTGGCCGAGTTCGTTGTAAGCAGTTTTTTTTCATTAAAAATCACTAAAATGGAATGTTATAACTGAAAAAATGTTAAAGAGTAGCGTTTTTGACGATAAGTATTGAGGTGATAAGCCAAAGAAAAAAATGTCGCTAGTTTAATCTTGGCCCTCCGCCGTCAAAATATTGCCTCCACGATCACCTTGATAAGTCTTTTAGAAACTTCACATTTTCAAAAGTTAGGCCCCTCGTAAAAGTTGTCCAGATCCACCGCTACTTTCTAATAGGTGCTACTAGTAGGCAACATGTTTGTTTACTGTGAGTGAGGTATTTGATTGTATGTGTGCTGTTAATTACATACCTGGGTGTGTAGCATGTATTGCTATTTCTTCAATTTAGTTGTTCATTTCATCGCGCTTAAAACATGCTGTTTAATAATGGATGCATTTTGGACAAAATGTTGTTTTAAACGAAAACAATTGTCATCTATTGTCTAAATTCTGTCAACCTTTTGCAGTGGAGCGTGTTGGTTGATGCAAGCTTGTTTGTATTTCTGCGAGTTTAAACATGTTTGGTGATTTCTGCCTCACACATACACACTGAGCTAGGGGCTGGTTAGTTGAAAAAGTAGTGAAATATCAGTGATAGAATTCGGAAAACGATAGGATTCGTCTGGGGTGCTTCGTTTAGCGTGTACTATTCATGTACGATGTTTGCGTCTGTTGTTCATTCTTCTGAAATTTGGGAAAGTGTATTATACTTAAATCTGTTTTCATAGAAAATTTTATGACTTTTTTAGTTTTTTTAGATTTCTTTTTCTTGTAAAAAAAATTAACAAATTTTTCATGATCGCAAAATCATTTTTAAAAAATGATACACTATAAAAATTATAAAAAGCTTTTGTCTTTACAATTTGCACTAAAACTGTTTATTTAATTTATTAATTCAGTTTTTAATTCTTCTCTTTATTTTACCGAACTTGAAGACATTATTTATTTGTTAGAGCAAAAGCTATATTATTTATTTAATTAATTTAATTCTGTTATTTTAACAATCGGATAGTGCACCAGAAATAAAATCCACCTTACAAATTAAATCTACCCTAAAAATTCCACCAGAAGTTGGTTAAAATTGAAAAGAGGCATTGCGAAATAACACAGAAAGCAAGTACCCGTATCAAAAAAAGATTGCAAAGCTGAACCCACATTGAACAGTATAAAGAGCAACACAACTATAGTTTGATGGTGTCTTTCTTTTAAGAACCCAAGAAGCTGATGCAACCGGTGTGGTAGAATTTTCGAAAACGAACCAGTTTTCATTAGGAAAAAAAATTTTACCATAAAAAATCCAATATGGTAAAAGTAGCATTTGTACGTTTCACATACCCGTCCATGGATTTTTAAAAGTGTTTTTACAATTAGTTATTAGCGAAACAAAACATCATGGAAGAAAGAGACAACGAAAATGAAAACAACAACAACAAGGAATGGCTCCCATGATCATTAAAACGCTGCCTACAATCTCAAACTCATGATGCTTTTTAATTTTAAAGCTTTCCTACAATTCTTGAAACAATGGCTTGCTAAAATAAACGAATAGTGTTCTATTTCATTATCATCACAATCATGGAAATAGATGTCTTTACTTTGCTGTAGTACATCGTACAATTAAGTCTAAATTGTTCAGCCCGTTGTTGGTCTCAGCGCCGATATTTTACGCAAACGAAAATAATTTGGTGAATTTTGAGATTGATTTTACTAACATAGTGGTGATATAAGCAACATTTTCAATGAAAATAAACATAAATATATCTGTGTAAGTGTTCATATATTTTTGAAAGATTTAATTTTTGTCACTATTAAATAAGTTTTTTCCATTTTATTCTCGTTTATCATGAACAAACAATAAATTTATTAGATAATTTCATTTACATTATTATTATTATTATTTTATTATTATGCGTGTCAGACGCATTACCACACAATACATCAGGCTCTCCTTGCATTCGAACCCTGTCTTTGAATGTTGCAAAAGCATGGACAAGCATCTTAACCATTACACAGTATTTGTCTTTTATCTATGATTATGTTGTTGTTAATACAGAACCAATTGTATTGTACGGTGCCTCTGTTTAGTGCGTGTGTGTGTGTTTGTGTGCGTCCATGTGTGCTTCTTTGTGTGTGTGTGTGTGCATTTTTACAAATTTGATACATTTTGCCTTTGGTTCAGTTTGCATTTAAACCGCCTTAGTAACAAAAATCTTAAATGGCAATTGAAGATTGCTTTTTTTTCATATTTAGCACCATTAGCAATATTTTTGAAGCGAAAAGTAATAAATTTTCTTTTGAAATGATGAATCAGCCGGCATTTAGCGTAAAAAATATCAAAAAGCCTTAGAATCGTAATCAAAAAATATTGCAAAATTGAAGCAAGCAAAGTAAGCAATTTTTAAAAGCCAAACAAAACGAAATAAAAAATTCAAATTAGTGTTATTATTGTCATTAACAATAAAATAATTATTTTTCTTTTCTTCTTCTTTTTCTTCTTCTTCTTATTATTATTATTATTACGATCATGATTATTGTCACTCATCTTTTCTCTGATTAAAATGTGGCAGCCAGCCAAGGGAACGACCAGCGAACCCCAAAGAAGCTGAGGGTGCATATCAAAACCGCGGATGACAACCTGGGCACTGCTGAATCGTCGTCATCATCGTCGTCATCACCCCATTTCAAAGTGAAGTTTTTCAAGAGAGAGAGTTCCAAGTTCTGGACTATGACCTCCTAGTGTGGTCAAGTATTTTGGCGGGAAGTTATTTTAAATTTGCTAACCAACATGTCTATTCCATTTTTTTTTCAATTTTGGATTAAATGTTATTAAATGTAAAAACAATACTAATATTAAAAACTACATAAATAATAATGAGATTTATAATAACAATAATAACAACCACAACAAAAACACTAATAATAATAATAACAATGAAAAAAACGACAATTATTAATATTGGATCATTATTATCATTATTATTAGTAGTATTATATTATTATTAATATTAATATTATTATTATTATCATTATTATTATTTATATTATCATCATTATCAGGATCGTGCATAACAATATTAACAATTTATTTTAATATTAACAATTTATTTTATTTTATTTCATTTTATCTATTTTGATTTGATTTTATGTCTTCTGCAATAATAAAAGAGTTCAAATTATTATTATCATTATTATTATTATTAATAATATTATTAAAAATCCTACATCTGTGTAACCGTCCCACTTGTAGCCTATCTTTTTTCCATTTAGACGAACCAGCTCTGGCATCTCATCAACCCCCACAACTGTTATGGAAGCAAGCATCAGCTCGCCTTCTGATGGTTTGTAGCCATTTGCATGGAGAACACCACGCAAAATACCCTTGGAAAATATCCAAACGAGTGTATTGAATAATAGCATTGAATAATATTTTTTTTTCATAATAATGATGATTAAAAAAACAAATAAATATTTATTGATTGAATTAGCGATAAATTAACTGAATAATCACATTCTATAATAAGTAGTAGTAGAAGTAGCAGTAGCGTGGTTATTTGATAAGAGGCTAACTTTGGTGACGATAAATTTGATAAGTGTGAACTTTTTCTTCTCTATGGTATCTGTTGGTAAAATTTTTTAAATTTTTCTTTGACATTCCTATGATCATTACCATCATTTTCATCATCGTCATCATCATCGTCATCGTCGTCATTGGGAACATCCCAAAATGACATGAAAGCCTAACTAACCTAACCCTTCAACACACAAACATATCCATCTATTTATTTTTTTTTTTATTATCATTCTCTAAAATAGATCACAACTCGACAGAATCTGCCGTAACAGGCAAGTCAGCATCATAAAACGCTGGCATGATTATAACGGAGAGTAAGTGGTGATTTAAGAAAAAACAATTTATTTATTTTTATTTATTTGAAGGATAACCAAAAAAGATAAACTTGTGGATAGGCCACCCTTAACTAAGAATTCCAATTGTAAATGTAACAGAAATGTCAAATAAATACATACATACAAGTTCTTACCACAAATGTAACAGAAATGTCAAATAAATACATAATGCAATGAAAGAATTTATCTAGTTATTACCTAAGGTTTCGCCGTCATCGCAAAATAATTCTCCAGAGGCTGTTTGATCTTCATTCAACGCCACCAGCAAATTTATCGGGTTCTTGCGACTGTTTGTTGACATTTTCCATATACATATATACAGAGATAAACAGAAAGAGAAATAAATAGATATAGAGAAAGAGAGAGAGAGAGAGAGAGAGAAAAAGAGAGAGAAAGAGAAAGAAAGAAAAAAAGAAAGAGAATTTGCCATTTTTCAGAATAAGAATAAGAAAACTAATAATTATTATTTTGAAAATTAGTAAGTTGGTTATAACAAGCCAAACGTGTAATGCCAACCTCTTGGCAGTAGTAACCGCTGGTTTCTGGCGAGTCAGGACACTCCCGCCTCTCACATGGAGATTTATCGCACAAAGACTGCTATTTAGTTTGTAGAATTCTCCATGGCTTTCCTTTTTGGCGTGAGTGAATAGGTCGTACCATAAACCGTCTGGAAAATAACCTTTGCTATCCTGGTTACTACTAGCCTAATTAGGAAAAAAAGGACTTGAAAGAGCGTTTTGGTAATTTAGAGAATAAAATGACTGCTATTTTAGTTAAGTTTTTTTTCCGTTAGAATCAACTGATCCGATCAGTTAATAGGATTTTCAGTTTAAGATTGGATGATTGTAAGACAAGCATATGCAACTAACCGGTTGCAGAATAGGGCTGACCAAAAGTGAGGTGCCCCATAAAAACTGTTCTTTATTATCGTATGTCATTGAGTCGTCGGGAAAACTGAAACAAATAATTTTTTTTGTTCAGTTTTCAAATGCCGGTTAAAATATTCAGAAGAATTATTTTTTAGATACATTTGAAAAAAAATAAAGAATATATTTTCTAACTGGATGAAAAATTGTCTGTCTAAGATATTTTGTTGATCTTTGCACTTATTATTTTTGGATAACTTTACACGCGCAGATAATTAAAGTTAAAGGCAGAAACGTTTTTGCACTTCAGAACATGTTTACCTCCTCCAATAATTTAAAATCGGGCAAGCAGTAGCAATTCTAAATGAATTCACACACACACACCAACAACCACAGACACACACACAGAATGTGAGAAATAACCACACACACACACACACACACACACACACACACACACACAGAGGTGTGAGCACTAACACAAATGACAAAGGGCGAATGACAGGACGGCCGTCTACGTGGTTCAAATAAAACTGTGTGTACATGAATGGCAGAAGAGAGTACCTCAGTTCAATGGCCTCTTTCATTAACCTTTGAATCGATGGATGCCATGCCCCTGGATCTTGATCCTGAAAGTTTAACACTGACCAACAAAGTTCGATCACTCATTCTTCATTCAACAATATAACTGTAACGACTAATAAACCGCACGGAGACAACAAATGTTTATTTAATAGGAAAAACTGATGCGTTAAAATCTTTACAACTAATTTTGAATTAATCAGCTTAACTAACAAATTCGAAAGTAATTTTGATGGAAATCTTGTTCAAAATTGCTTCCCATTTCGAGTAACTTCAATAAAATAATAAAAAACCAACCAGCCACTAAACCAATCAAACTGTTTATTCAAACACTCAATCGATTTCCTCATTTAGCTGAATGGCTAAATTTAGTCATTCAGCTGAGCGGCACTACTAGCCTTATTATTGCCATTGTTATGATTCCTCATGAATGGATAGAAAGCGCCGAGCTGAGTCCACCTGGTGCAAAGTTCTTCGCTGGAGTCTCCGTTGAATCCACACACATCCACCCCAACGAACGGAATGCCAAACATTTGCGAGTTCAACAAACCTACATTAGCATATGGAAAGGAGAGAGAAAACGAGAAAGAGAGAAAGAGAAAACGAGAAAACAAAAAAGAGAGAGAAAAATAAATGAGAGAGAGAGAGAGAGAGACGAACGGAGTGCCAAACATTTGCGAATTCAAAAAACCTACATTTGCATACGGAAAGGAGAGAGAGAAAGAGAGAAAAAGAGAGAAAGAAAGAAAGAGAGAGAGAGAAAGAGAGAGAGAGAGAGTGAGAAAGACGAACTGAATGCCAAACATTTGCGAATTCAGAAAACAACAAATAAACAAACCTACATTTGCGTATGGAAAGGAGAGAGAGAAAGAAAGAAAAAGAGAGAAAAAAAAGAAAGAGAGAGACAAAGAGAGAGAGAAAGAGAAAAAGCGAGAGAAAAAAAGAGAGAGAAAGAGAGAGAGAGAGAGAGTGTTATGCACTGTTATTTAATCACGCACCACTCAACCTAATGTCTAGAATGTATAGAATGTTGAAAATGTGAGATAAGGATACTTTTAACTTGTAGCCAACCCAGTCTGAATAATTTGTTAATGAGTAAATTTAGTTGGTGCAATACAATTGTTGTTGGTTTTAAAAAATCTGAGAACGATTGGTAGATGAAATTTTTGGAGGCACTAAGCTGTTTGATAGCCAAACATTCTGATTAAATAAAATATATCTAAATCTTTTCGAAGTAGAATGTCGTTAATTAAAAATTTTTTTTTTTGTCTTCAGATGTACCAACAGCAAACAGACAGTGCATGTTATAGCATGTAATAAAATGGATAGAAATCTACTCGCAGCCGAATCCGGTCCCCGCAACAGCAGAGCCAAGCACCTATACCGTTACAAAGTGACGAGGTGAAAGTGACGTAATAAGCAACGCGAGAAGTTGTGTTATTCCAATATATAACATCAAATACGTGATAATCATGCATGCATACGTATGTGTACAACTGCACATGTACATAAAAATTGCTCCTAACTCGTTATGGAATAACGCATATCCTCCCAACTTGATTTCCAACCAGCTGACCACTGCTGTCCGTACTTGCCGTGACTTGGATAGGTCGATCGTGAAATGGACAATGTCCTCTTGCCAGTTGTTTGATCTTGAGCTCTGTGATTGTTGCACAATGCTGGCATGTTATTTAATACGTTGAAATGATTTTTTCACATTCGTTCTGAACAACTTCAGAGATAGCGAGAATTAGTTCAAAATGGTCAAAATTTTTAAAGTCACTTTTAACCAAAAACGGCAAAAACTGGAGTTACGAGAACCCGCAAAAAAATTCTGCATCCGCCACAAGTTAGGGCTGCATTATTAAATGCTAAAGAGGTTAAAGGTCATTCATTCTCTCTGGTGTTCCTGCTTTAGAGGTTTGAAGGACAAAGAGGTTAAAGGTCAGTCATTCTCTTTAGTGTTCTTGCTTCAAACACGCACAGCGTATACAAATACGCGTGAGCGTATACAAATACGCGTGAAACCCACGAATCACACACATTGCACGTGATAGGTTGAGATCTCTTTGTATTCGAACCCAGTCACTGCAACAGCAGGACCTGGCGTCTTTAACTATTACGCTAATATGCTGCTACAACTGTGTAATATTGTTTCATGATAGGCCACACAGCTACATTATAAACGACAATAAAAACAACAGCAACAACGACAACAACAACGATAACAACAACAACAACAACGATAACAACAACAACGACAACATCAGCAGCAACAACAACGACGACAAAAACAACAACAACAAACTTTCTAGAGGCCATCGTCATATGCAGTCCATACAAATTGTGCAAGTTGTAATGATGCGAATGAAATTGCAAGGCCGAAGAGCACAAGGTTTTATATTCCAATTTTCCATTCCCTGCCGTGTCTTTTTATTTCATTTTTTTTCATATTTTTCATGTTCACACAAATTTTTATTATTTTTCCGACACACCATCAACAAACACTTAGTTTAGGTACACACAGATTGCATTTGCATTGGAAATTTTTTGGCATTCAGCCTACCAGTGCATGGAACTTTAACCATAAAACATCGTAGCTTGTACCACAAAACCAAATGTAGTACTGATGCGAGCAGATGAATGCCGTGACATTAATTGTAACAAGTGACATTTAACATTAACAACACTAATTACATGCGGACTGGACATCTTAATACAAATGGCGTGCATTTGGTGGTCTGCTTACTTAACGACAATGATCGAATCTTACAAATGTTTTAGAATGAAAAATAATGATGTTAATAGCGATGACAAGGATGACGATGATAACAATAACGATACGGTACCGACTGGATACGATACCAACTGGATACGATACCGATACAAACCTGGTACATAGGGAGGTCGATCCAGTTTGTTGTTTGTACATCCAGTAGTAGAGCCGTCTACAGAATTTGATGGCTCGTTCATGTCCTTTGGAGGGTTTACAAAAATTTTTTTTTCAAATATCATCAGACTGCATAATTTTTAGTTATGGATTAGTTTGTCTCTTGATATCTTCTGTTTAAATATTCAATATTAATTTACGAACTCTATAACATATTCCAAAATATTTGTATTTCCATTTTAGGAAACAAGGTTTAAAATGAAAATAAAGATGAAACTCAGAAATAAAAACGACTTCAATCAATTGATCTGTCCGCAAACTGGTTACAATCCAGATGTTGTATGGGGCCTGTAATTCTTTCAGTAGATCAGTGAGCAGTGTGATGGCGTTGTGGTTAAAGTGCTAAAAATCATTTTAAAAAGAATTGTGACAAAATAAATCTCACGAGACATAGTCCATCAAATTGCACGACTTGGCGAAAATCTTCGGCCTCTTTTAACCACCAACCCGCGGCATTCGGGTGGGCAAAATCGGGGTACACGACTGGACCAGGCTTTAAACTCCCTTCCAAAGTACCGTGAATAAAGTTGCGTATGAACACCCCCTGTTGTATTCCCCGGTCGTAGGGGGGGTACTTGTCTGAGAGTCTGTTGCTTACACCTGGGTGCTGAATGGTTTATAGAATTTTTTTATTTCATTATTCTTTAAAAAATCAGGATCATAGTTGGAGTATTTTTTTTCTAGGTTCTTAAATATTTTTTCATGAAATCAAAAATTTCAACGTGTTTTTTGTGTGTGGGATATGCGGGAGCTGTGAGTTTGAGCACACCCAAAGAGTTGTGTGAAATCATTTTTGTGTAAAATTGTTTCTATGATGAATTCAGCGCAACATTTTTAATATTTTTGGTTTCTAGTTGTTGGTGAATTTAGCAAAAAAATCAAGCAAAAAAATATTTAAAAAATAAAAATAAAGAAAAATAACAACAACAACCACAACAACAACAGAACAACACAACCACAACAACAAACATCAACTACATGAACAACCATACCAATGTGATGATATACTTCATAAAATTTTCGTGTAGTTCGGCAACCAGTTGGGGCAAGTCCTTGTACAGGTACTTATCATACGTCCATATTTTCCACCGCTCCATGTAGTCAACATCACTCCACTGAACATCCTTCATGTCGGCGGTTTATTTCAGTTGGTTTAATTTATTTTTGATTTAGCATTTCTTTGATCAAAAAGTTTTTTTTTCTAATATTGCCACTTGGATTGTTAACTAAAATACAACGCTCACGTGGATTCAACTTTGATTCAATTGACTAAGAACCGTCAACTAAAGATTGAAAAAAAACGGTAAAACGAACATATGGAATGCCAATGTCTCTATTTCTTTTAATAGTTCTCCTCAAATTCTGAATGTCTTTATAATTCGAGTTGGAAAGATGAAATCCCAGAGCCCAAAATGGCGGCATGGTGGGAATCCCAATGAGTTGGATGTACTGCTGTACGACATCTTCCAGGGATGGGCCCGTGAAGATGTAAAAATCGAGGACACCTCCAATCGAGCGAAAGGTAGCAGCTGGAGTCGGATATACGTTCACATCTATTTCTGAGATGAAAATTTGAGGTAGCATGGTATTAGATTAGTTTCTTTATGGCTTTTGTCAAATTCTTTGCTGGTATAGAAGATATAATATATAAATATGTAAGAAAAGTTCGGTTGGGTGGTTTGTTTGTGTGTGTGTGTGTGCGTGTGTGTGTGGTGTGTTTGTGTTGCATAGCAGTCAACTTATTGAACGTACCCATAGCGTTACTGTTGAGAAAAAGCACACCGTGAGCATTTTTACTATATTCGTCAACGTTTATATAGAAGGGGTGCTCTCCTTTCAGCGTTGAATTATTCTTGATAATAAATTAATTTAAAAAAATATCAATAACTCAAAAACAAATATCTTTACAATTTATTTAAGATGTCTTCAAATGAAATTAGTTGGCAAAAATTTATAATAAAAAATCTCACAACATTTACGTGACTAACAATTGATGTCTGGTCTCGAGCCCAGTAGGTGTACCTACGCCCCCCCGATGCATAGGGACTGCCCTCCCCCAGACCAAACAAATATTTTGATTGCAGGAGGGTGCTAATCTGGAGAAACTGGTCTGCGTATATGAGAGGTGCACTGGAGATGATGCTGTTAAATCTGGTTCGTTTCAGTTCATTGTGTATTCATGGAAAAGTCAAATGTCAATTAGACTCTTACAAAACGCTAAACGATGCATCACACACAAAATACGTAATAAGCGTGGATCCTCTTGTCGTATTCGAACAAGGTCACTGAGTAACAGGACCCGACGAGCTCAACCACTAGGCCATCACATTTTTCAATCTTTTTAAACAAGTTTATATTGTTTCTAAACACTAATATATAATATATATGGAAATGAAAGTTGAACATAAGTCGCTATCTCCAGTTGTTATTGCTTGAAGCGAAACCCCATCTAAACTTACTGATATTTACGACTTAATTGCAGGGTTTTCGAGATCCATTTTCAAAAAATGAATTTAAATATCACAGAGTAAATAATAATATTACAATGTTTGATTTAAACTCACAATGTTTCGCGCGAGCCATACCTGGTGATTCTGATGCCAAATGGCTCATAGTTGAAAAAAACCTGGTAGTCCCTATAGCCAGGTGCGTCAGATGGTGGGGCGGGTATCTCTATCGGGACCTCGTACCTCTTAATTACTGGATCGATCATCTACCACAAAATGCGTACGAATAAAAAATCACAGATATAAATTTTCATTGAAAATATCTTAACCAATTAAAATATTTTAACCAATTAAAATATCTTAACCAATTAAAATATCTTAACCAATTAAAATATCTTAACCAATTAAAATATCTTAACCAATTAAAATATCTTAACCAATTAAAATATCTTAACCAATTAAAATATCTTAACCAATTAAAATAATCATTTTCATTGAAAATATCCTAACCAATTAAAATAAATTAAATTACACAAAGTCGCAAACCTTGAAATGAACAATGGTACGGCTGTGGAACCAAACGTTGAACTTTAACATTTCAATATTATCTGGCCAAGGAGAATTGCCTTGTCTGATCAAAAACCCCTCATATCCGCTGCTAACGTTACGCAAGTTCTCGAGTTTGTAAGAAGAAAAATTTGTTGAAAAGAAGCTTCTGGCTGTGAATTTTTTGTCGCTACTTTTATTACTTCTACTACTACTACTAATACTACTACTACTACTATTACTACTACTACTACTACTACTACTACTACTACTACTACTACTACTACTACTACTACTATCACTTCTGTTGCGACGGTGAGTTTCATCCTCAGAACAGCAGCGTTTATTAGAACAGTTAGTAAGGTTATGAACAGCTCCAGGATCACAGTCGAACCTCAATTCATTGCGGACAGAATTGACATCAACATCGCCAGCTGCTCTGCTGATGGCATTTTTCACAACGAAATGTGATAGCAGATGGAAAAAGACAAAGGCAGTAGCAGAAGAAAGGATTTTCATTGTTCACAAACTACTTTTTCGAGACTGAATGACATTTTCATTTAACAATTTGTAAAATTATATTTGTCATAATCCACCCTAGCCAAAAAATATCTGCTAAATATCACTTTAAATTCAGATGCATATAAGTCACATACTAATATACCTAATCATCAACCTGTATAATTGATATGATCACGAAATTTTATGATGATTCGTATATTCATGTGATTTCTTAGAACGCTTATATAAATTATACTAATAGGCATATGATAAATAATATGTTATCACATGTTATCTATACTATCGTTAAGAAACATCTTCAATTCAGTTTATGATGTATTTAAAGGTTACTAGATTATCTTTATTAAATCTCTCTAATCCTTTTAAAATTTGGAAAAGTTTATAATTTATTTAGAACTGTTTAACTCTTTGTTTGTAGATCTAAAAAATTATTTAACATTTTCATTTGAGGAGGTAAAGGTTTGTACTGAATTTTTAGACTGATAAGTTTATAATTTTGGAGAATTGGATTCGAAGGCTGGTTGCCGTTCTGTTTGCAACTTTTTGTCTGCCTAAATTATCACCACAAACTCTTCAAAATCAGCTAATGACGCGTTGTGTTCATGGATATATATGGTTATAATCATGGTTGTGTTGAAATTTGATTACGTTTTATTATTCTATGTGCAAGTATAACAAAATCAGGCATTCATACAAGTACGTATTTAACATTTAACCAATATGAATGACAAAAAACATGAATGAACATGTAATAATAACTACTTAGCCTAAATAAATGCTTCTATGCATAACTCAGAATTAAAAAATTGTTAAAGTATTTTAAAACTTCTTCATCAATTTTTGTCATTTATTTCAGAAGTTCTTCTTTTAACAAAAAAAAATGTCACAGAGAATATAAAATAGTTAACCATTTTAGAGAAATTCATTTTTTATTAGTTTAATTTCATGCTGAATGTGACGAGTATGTATGTACAGGTGCATGTGACGTTTATGTGATGTGTTCGTGATTGTGTATGTGACAATCTACTAACGCCGAATTCGCCGACTCGATCAGCTGCATATGAGGTATCATCGAATTATTCTCGGATGATAGAGTATCAAATACGATCCATTGGATACCTGTGGTATCATGGAAATCTTGGATCATCTGCTACAGGCCTGATACAAAAAGTACCTAGACAGGGGTTTTTTGGACAGCTGATGTCGGGAAAGCAAGTAATCTGGCTGGCAGATTTAAGGACTGCTTGGAAGAAAACTTTAAAAGGTGTGGGATAGATTCTAACTCATTGGAAACATTTTTTAAATAACTGAAAATAAATTTAAATAAATTTAAATAAATAAAAAAGGAAAAGTTTCATCTAGAAAAATTTTCAATCAGATTTTCGAATTTCAAGTTTTTATTCATTAAAAAACTAACTTCTTTTATTTAAACTATTGAAATTTAGAACAAGCATCAACGAAAATTGCAATAACTGCGTTTTTATATAACTCAGTAAAAATATTTTTTGTTTTAACCTTCTTATCTATACAATATAATTGTAAGGTTTCAAAGTATATGTTAAAAAGTTTTAAAATATATGTTACAATAGCAAAAATTTTTCAGGATTTTCAATTTTTAAGATATTTCACTCGTTCATATTAGCTAATCTGTTTTAACTCGCCTTACCTCATAAAAACTATAGCCCACAGTCGAAAATACGAACAATAGAGTAAAGTTAAATACACATTAAAAATTTTAATAAATAATTTTAAAAAATTTAAAATTTTTAATAATTTAAGTTTTTGAATACGCTCTACGAATGTTTAAAATGTTTTCAAAATTTCATGTTTTATTTAATAAAGTCATTAAACTTTCACGGTTCGGCGTTATCAAATCCCAAGTTTTTCTGCAATAAGTGTCCTGCAATAACCTAAAACCGAGCGTTTACATGGTCAAGGTGGAGACTCTGGAGAAAGCTAGCTACGTAGCGAGCTTTGCTATTAATTCAAATGGTAGGGTGGGATGATTTATGTACCAAAGCAAGAAAATTACATTAGATTTAGATTAAATTAAAAAAAAACAATATTGTTAATTTAAATTGTTTTAATTTTCTTTTTTACAGCAAATATATTAGTATTGTGTTAGATTTTTGTGAAAACATCTCTTATAATAACTAGAGAGCAGTTATCGTTTACGTGAAGTCAAAAATGAATGCTGAAATTTGACGAGCGGGCCAACAAATTAATTAAAAGTTTGCTAGTGTGGGCACAATTAAACCGGCGACACTTTTTCTTATCTTTTGCTAATCGCGTCAATTTTGTATGATTCTGTATTTGGAAACGTTGTTTTTTTGTCTAAAAACTGAGTTTTATTGGCCTGACTTTTAATAAGAAAAGAAAATGGAAAAAATCGGTTCGTCCATTTCAATTTTCTTTTACGCTGCCCATAACGGACTAACCTAGATCAGCCACTTTTTGAGAGTAAATTGAAAATAATATATAAACAGGCAGCAGAATTTTAATTCAATTTATAAATTTAGAAAACAATGCAACTTTGTAAAATTCCAAAATTAACATTTTTAAACTAAAAAATTTTTTTTTAAATGTCCATCTTACTTTAAAATATTACCAAAATACACACATCATAGAATGAAACGTTTGCATACACACAGCCCAATGCAGAACTTCAACTGACATGTTAGTTGCATGGCTCGGTGCTCCCAAACTGAACAGATCTTCAACGATGGGAGACTTCTACTGGTTCGGTCCGAACAAGTCTACGATGGTGATGATACCAGCTCCTTGGTTTCTGAATCTAAACATCGGAAGTTGTGTCGCTTTGCCCGCTAGTCCAAGTATTGAAGTTTAATTTGCCGTAGCGTTAAAGTGGCATAGCTGTTTATTGTCCATCTTTTGTACTGCAATGCTTGTAACTCTAAGTTCAGTGAATGGAATAATGTTATTATTGATGTTAAGATCCAACTTGTACTAGTTCTAGTTGCTGGTATAATAACAAATGTTAGCTAAAATACAGCTAAAGTTGAGCTCATTTAAAAATAATGTTAATTTCCTATTATAAACATTTGACCACAATTATATTCACGTTTTTGAATCCTGTTTTTGTGCTTGTGCTTGCGCTAGTAACATTTCAACAGTTTTGAAATTTGTCTCAATCTCCATTTCAACATTTCAAACTTAGGTTACATTTACACGTATGCCGTACCGTGCAGTAACTTAAACTGCGTGATGTGTGAGACGAGTCCAGGCATTCAAGCCGCCTACCCATGTCAAAAACAACGCTGGTTTCATGAGCATCAGACAGGTTTTGAATTGTGAAGAGAATTTAAATCCAGCTGGACATGTTTCTGAAAAAAATAAAAATTAATAATCAGACTTCCAATGGAAATTTCCTTTAAAATATATTATGACTAACCATTTTTTCTGAAACTCGTACATGCGTAATTTTTCGAGTTATTCGAATCTGACTAGACTTCAAAAATTTCGCACCTGCCATCTGTCGGATAATAATTCCCCGCCAAGCAATTCATCTGTGCATTGGTGAGGCATGTAAGACAGCAATCAGTTTGGCTGGTAGCAATGGAGTTGAGGTTGGTTCCAGAGGCACACCTGTAAGCCGTGCGGGTAGTGTTGTCACTGAACATGTAACTTCTTGGCTGCAACAACAATTCAGTGGCCGCGATGTTGATGATGAAGGTGAGCCTACCTAAAAATACACAAGTAAGTTTTTTTAGTACGTTGCACATTTTCGGCCGTTATACGGATACGCTAAATTTGTCTGGTTCATTTGAATAGTGTTAGCATATTTGCTTAAATTTTAAATGTAAAATATTTAACTCTACATGTAGCAAATAACTCACGTTTAAGTAAACAAGCGTCTATGAATTTATTCCTTCCTAGGCAACAGACCAATGAATTCTGCCGCCTGTTGAACCTGAGCTCTCTAAGGCTTGTGGAGAACACTTTTTCAATTGTTTCTTCATTATCAACTATAAATAATAGCACGGATGTGAGTTTTTATTCAGATGATTTTCTCCATTGTTTCTAAATAAAATGTATATAGAGTGCTGAATTTGTATGCATTGAACAGTTTTTTCGGTATGCAAGCTTGTTCATGACAACCACAATGTCAGACTGTATACGATACCGATACGAACCTGGTACATAAGGAGGTCGATCCAGTTTGTTGTTTGTACATCCAGTAGTAGAGCCGTGAACAGAATTTGAAGGCTCGTTCATGTCCTTTGGAAGGTTTACAAAAAATGTTTCCAGACTGCATTGTTATTCAGTTATGGATTAATTTTTCTCTTGATACCTCAGTTTAAACTTAAAAAATTGGTCACCTGCCATCTGTCGGATAATAATTTTTTGCCAAGGAATTCATCTGTGCATTGGTGAGACATGTAAGACAGCAATCAGTTTGGCTGGTAGCAATGGAGCTGAGGTTGGTTCCAGAGGCACAACTGTAAGCTGTGTGGGTAGTGTTGTCACTGAACATGTAACTTCTTGGCTGCAACAACAATTCAGTGGCCGCGAAACAAGCCACTAAAATAAAGCTGCCTAGATTCACGTCGCACATAGCTATTTTTTTTTAAATTTTATAATCAAAATTTCTTACATATCTTGAAATAATCGCTCCAATGACAAAGACATTTTTGAATTTTTTCAAATAATCAGTCAAAATTAATTTTCTTTCCATGAAAATTAAAACATTTTCTAAATAAATGAACAATTTATTTTAACAATTTAATAATGATTAAATTGTTTATTAGGATAAAGGAACATGTACTAAATTTTAAAAAGGATCGTCTCGTCAGCCAATGTATTGAAAATGGTTAACACCCAATTACAGCCAAAATCACAATTAATTACACGTTATATACATTTTTGCTATGTTATACTCAAATATTTTTATGAAAATACACAAATATTGAAACAAGATGACGAATTTCTAATGAATAGCATACGATAATGAACTTGAAGTTGGTTCAAAATTGAAATTAAACATGGATCACATTCTTGATAACGTTATGAGATAAAATTGTTTTAACTGATACAATATGGTATATTTTTGAATAAATGTTAAGAAAATTTAAATATAGTTTGATTTTTTGAATAATGAAAAAAATTATTTTAAAACAACAATTCTTTTCAATTTCTCCAAAATTATAAATTGTATTGGTACTTAAGTATCTAGGCTTGTTAAAAGGCAATTTCATCATTATAATATTTTTTCAGATTGGTTTTGTTATAACACACACACACACACAACAATTAAACAAATAAATAATAAAGAATTCATTGAGGAATAAATTATTAAAATAATAATAAATAAATTAAAAGACGTTTAAAAACTTTAAATAAAAACGAAAAAGAATTAAATTAGATTAATTAATGAATTGAAAACATATAAACGTTAATAAAAATATAACGATTATTGAATAAAAGTTCCAAGTTTTATTTCGACTGGTAATATTCCATTTCCTTTGGGTTGAGTGAGATCTTAGAGTTGAACCTTGATATGCAAGCAGTGGGTTATCATAGTCGATCGTTTCATTAAAATTCCAGTTGTGCGTACTTTGTTAGGCCTAGTGAGTTTCCGGCAAATTTTGTTGAGAGTGATTTTTATCCAGGTGTCTAGTCATAATCTGCTCTTGCGGTATAGTTGTTTGTTGGAGAATACTATGTTGCTGATGTTGTTGTGGATGTTGAGAAGTTTGTTGTTGATGTTGTGTGCTGTGGTGCTGTTGTTGTTGAATGAACATGTTTTTTTGCTGTTGGAGCTCAAATTGTTGTTGTTTATTTTCTTTTTTGTTTTGTTGTTGTTGTTGCTGTTGTTGTTGCTGTTGTTGTTGCTGTTGTTGTTGCTGTTGTTGTTGCTGTTGTTGCTGCTGCTGTCGTTGTTGTTGTGGTTGTTGTTTTTGTTGTTGTTGTTGTTGTTCTTGATTCAGGTTGTTGTCATTGTGATTGAATTGAAGATAATTTGAATTATTAAAAAGTTCATGTTGCAGCTTTTGTTTATTCCGTGGGTCATCTTGTTTTTGGTTGAAAGAGTTTCGTCGTTGTATCTGTTGTTGAGAACCTTGATGTGGTTGCTGTAGAGTTTGTTTCTGTGGTTGAAGAATTTGTTTCAGATGCTGTTTCTGAGCAAGTTGCAGTGTTGGTTGTGAGACATCAACATTTCCTTGGATGTTTTGCATTTGTTGCGGGGCATCAGCATTTCCTTGAATGTTTTGTTTTTGATGCGGGACATTTGTATATCCTTGAAAGTTTTGTTTTGGCTGTTTGTGAAAATTCCGCTGTGGTTGTTGCAGGGTTGGATTCTGTGTTTGAAAAGTCTGTTGCTGTTTCTGAGCATGTTGTTGTCTATGCTGCAAAAAATCTGTATTTTTTTGGATGTTTTGTATCGGTTGCAAGACATCTGAATTTTCTTGGATGTTTTGTATTGGCTGCGAGACATCTGCATTTCTTTGGTTTGGTTGCAAGACAAATGCATTTCCTTGGATGTTTTGCATTGGTTGTAAAACATCAGCATTTTCGTGGATGTTTTGTTTCTGTTGCTGCCACTGAAGATGTGGCAAATTGTGCAGTTCATTTTGATATTCATGGTAAAAGGTTGGCTGTTGGTGGTAAAAATTCCATGAAGGGTTGTGAAATTTCGATTGATAATATTGCGGGTCGTACGTTTGATTATGCCAATAATGTGCATGCAATCCAAAATAATTTTGTGGTGAGAGGAAATCACGCTGCATCTGATAGATGTCGTATGGTTGATGTGGGTGACGATTCTGTTGATTATGTTGTTGTTGCTGCTGCTGCTGCTGTAGTCTTTGTTGTGTTTTATGTGTATCATGTTGTGAATGAGACAAATTTGGCTGAGTTTGCTGATGTTGTTGCAGCTTTTTATTTTGTTGTTGGCCAGGTTGTTGTGGTTGTTGCAAATTTTTTACTGGTTGGTAGGTATCAAATTGTTGCCTATGAGTTTCATATTGTGGAGTTCGAAATAAATTGCAAAGTTGGTGCTGATTTTTCTGGAGTTGTTCATTCTGTTGACTAACATTCTTTTCTTGATTTAAACATTGTAACAATTGTGAGAAAGGAGGGAGAGGATGTTGATCCGTATTCTGTCTGTCCTCTTTACAATTATCTGGCTGCTGTTGTTGGTTTTGCTGTTGTTGCAGTATGTTTTGTACGATCTGAGATTTTTGCCGACGCTCTGTTTGTTTCGCTTGTTGGAGGTGACTTCCAGACGTTTTTTCTTTTGTGCAATCCGTTGATTCATTCTGCTGTTCCGAGCTGAAACAAACAAAATGTGTTAGTAACTTTAGATAATATGCTATAAAAATATTGCATGCATGTTATTTGATAACTGTATTGAAGTTACATTTTTCGTGAAAAACATTACAAAAATAATTGCAAAAATTAGAATACTTTAAATAAAAAAATAAGTTAGTCGCTTTAAACTTACTTTCTGCTGTCATCCAACATCTCAAGATCATCATCTTCATCGCTATCATTCTTTCCAAAGTTTTTTGTTTTGAAACGCTGTCTTTTGTTTTTGAACCAGTTGTTAATTTGAACCCTGGTCAGTGACGTTTCTTTGCAAAGTCTCACTTTTTCCGATTCTGTTGGATAATGGTTCATTTGGAAACTTTTGTTCAGCTGCATTCTCACTCTCACCTTCACTCCATACGATTCGCCTTCACCGTCCCAAATGGTTGCTGGGTAGGGGTGCTTCTTTCGGATTCGAAACTTGTCCGTGGCTGTGAGGATATAACATTCGTTTCATTTTAATTTTGTTTATTTATTCAATAAATTATTTTAACAATTGGAATAAATTACTAAGTTAAAATTAAAACTCATCAACAAGCCTTTTTTAGTCTGATACTGCCTGTAATGTGCCTCGTCCCATAACATTTGAAGTTCTTTGTGATAACACTTATTGAATAAGCGATTCATTATCAAATGATATACTGAATCATATTCGGAGTAATGCAAGTGAACTTTGATTCTGACTAGGACGAAGATATCATTCTCATAAGTTCTAAACTCGTTTGAAACGAGCAACTCACGAAGCTTATCATACTTGCACTCTTTCAACAAGACTTCACAAATGCACATCAGCTGCTCTTTTGTGAAGACAACCATTTTTGTAGGATAATTTTAAATCAAATACTTTTTCAGTAAACTAAAATGTCCTTAAATTTATCCGACTACAATTGAATACAAATTCGATATTTAATAACTCTATAAAGTTTTTTATCAGATGGTTGATTAACAGTTAAGTAACCTGAAACTACTCCAACGACGGATTGAATTTCAAAATTTGAGATTATATATACCAAAACCCAACACTATACATCACCATTTCTCATAACCCAAAATATGAAACCTAGTTTAAGTGAAATAAAATTTGCATAAAAATCGCTAGACAACACACAGCACATAGGCACAGACACATACACGGAGTTGGACGATGCGTAAACACAAAGCTTTGTTACCTAATTTAGTAGGACTCAATCAATTATTGGTCAGTAGGATCTCATTTACATAATCTGCTGTATTCTCTTAATTGATTTCACCAATAATAATTCAATACCGGTAAGGTCTTGACCAATGACGAAGAGCTTTGTAAGTGACCGCACTCAATGTTTTATCAAAGTAACTTTTATATTTGCATGTAAAAATTGAGGAATCGTCTTCAAATATTTTCATGTTTAATTTAATACTTTGATGATTTGCGGAACGCTAAAGTTGTTTAGTAACGTGTTTAAATGTTGTAATGTATAAATTTTTATTTTTTATTTGTTATCATTGTATGAACAAGTTTATTTTTTTTATTCAAAACAAAATATATATAAATTAGGTTGATTTCTTTTCATAAGATAAAATAAAAAACAGAAATTTATTGTAACGACTTAAAACGTTAATATTCAGAATTAAAAAATGTTTTAAAATCAAACTTAAAAATATAATAATATAATTATTAGAAAATTAAAACAATTAATAAATCCTGTTGAAAAGTAAACAAATAAGTTTCAAACAACATCCTTTCGAGACATGCCTTGACTTGTCCGTAATGTTTCAAGAAACTTTAAAGACCTCGTTATCTTCAAAGAAATCGTTTAAATGCTTGTAATTGCTTCTCCGATGGTACAGTATGGGCCGGATGCTAACGTCTTACGTAATTCTGCTCTGATTCTTGTCACTTCAATGAGTGTTTTATTCTCTATAAATTTCAAAATAAATTAATTTATATATGAAGTTAATATTTTTAAATCAGTTTAGTCATGAAATTTATTTATTTATTTAAATCAAAAAACTGAAGCCTAGGCTTGTTGGGCGACATTCACACAATATAACATATTTAAAAACAAATTTAATTCACTCAAAAGTTGGTTAAAAAATTCAAGCATATTTTTCTATTTGTCACAAACAGAATCAATCAATCATTTATCATTATATAAAAATTAAATTATGTAGTTCTAGCAAATTAAATGTTTATAATGTTTAAAAGATGATGCAGATTTTAGGCAATGTATTCCACAACCTTAAAATCGGTATGATCTATCTATTACTAAAAAGTTCAGTTTTACATAGTTTTTATTTCTACGATTTAACGATCAAGTTGGTCAATTTAAAAACAAAATAATAAGATTTGAAAAATAAACAGATTCTCCTTTAATAATAAGTTTGTATGAAAATATATAAACTCTATATAAAGGCAAATCATTAATTATTATCCCGGAAGTAACAAAATACAGAATAATATGCCAATATTTATTCACCCAGTACATGATCCTCACGAAATGATTCTGGGCCAATGTTAAATGTCTCATGCAAATTATGACTATTACCCCAAATTAACAAATAAAATATCAAATACGGATGTATAAAAAATAGAGTATTTGTGTCACTTGATTGAGAAATTAACTTCTCATTCTAAAAATTTCTGGAAATTTTATTTTTGATGTAAAGAATGTGATCATTCCATGACATATCACTGTTGGATACAGCTTCTAAAAATTGGTAGTTGAAATACGCTTTTTTAGAGTATTATTTTTAAGAACAGAGTTAATTAGTTTATTGATTACTGTTTAAGGCCGATCAAAGCATAGTTGGTTTTAATAACATTTAAATAAAAATTATGAACCAGTTAATTTTTTTATTCAAGACAAAATTTTCATTAAATAGGTATAAATGTTTTTCATAAGACAAAATAAAGAAAGGAAATTTATTGTATCGATTTAAAAAGTTAATATTTAAAATTGAAAATTGTTTTAAAATCAAATTAAAAAAATTAAGAATACAATTATTTAAAAAAATCTAACAATAAACAAATCGTGTTGAATAATAAATAAGTAATTATTTAACAACATCTTATCGAGACATGCAGTGACTTGTCCTAACTGTTTTAAGAAACTTTAAAGACCTCGGTATCTTCAAAGAAATTGTTTAAATGCCTGTAATTGCTTCTCCGATGGGACAGTCATGAGCCGGATGCTAACGTCTTACGTAATTCTGCTCTGATTCTTGTCCCTTTGGTGTTCGATGAGTGTTTCGTATTTTATAAATTTTAAAACAAATTAAATTACCTATTGCTATCATCCAATTGGATCATCATCTTTATCGCTATCATTCTTTCCAAAGTTTTTAGCATTAAAACGATGTCTTTTGTTTTTGAACCAGGTGTTAACTTGAACCCTGGTCAGTGATGTTTCTCTGCAAAGTCTCACTTTTTCCGATTCTTTTGGATAATGGTTCATTTGGAAACTTTTGTTCAGCTGCATTCTCACTCTCACCTTCACTCCATACGATTCGCCTTCACCGTCCCAAATGGTTGCTGGGTAGGGGTGCTTCTTTCGGATTAGAAACTTGTCCGTGGCTGTGTGGATATAACATTCGTTTCATTTTAATTTGTTTATTTATTCAATAAATTATTTTAACAATTGGAATAAATTACTAAGTTAAAATTAAAACTCATCAACAAACCTTTCTTAGTCTGATACTGCCTGTAATGTGCCTCGTCCCATAACGTTTGAAGTTCTTTGTGATAACACTTATTGAAAAAGCGATTCATTATCAAATGATATACTGAATCATATTCGGAGTAATGCAAGTGAACTTTGATTCTGGCTAGGGCGAAGATATCATTCTCATAAGTTCTAAACTCGTTTGAAACGAGCAACTCACGAAGCTTATCATACTTGCACTCTTTCAACAAGACTTCACAAATGCACATCAGCTGCTCTTTTGTGAAAATCACCATTTTTGTAGAGGAATTTTAAATCAAATACTTTTTCAGTAAACTAAAATGTTTTCAAATCATCCGACTACAATTGGATACAAATTCGATAATCACTAACTTTAAAACTTTTTTATCAGATGGTTGATTGACAGTTAAGTAACCTGAAACTACTCCAACGACGGATTGAATTTCAAAATTTGAGATTATATATACCGAAACCCAACTGACCATCAGCATACATTAGGGTACCATTTCTCATAACCCAAAAAGTGAAACCTAGTTTAAGTGAAATAAAATTTGCATAAAAATCACTAGACAGTACACAGCAAATAGGTACAACACGGAGTTTGACGACGCATAAACACAAACCTTTGTACTTAATTTAGTAAGACTCAATCAATTATTGGTCAGTCGGATCTCATTTACATAATCTGCTGTATTCTCTTAATTGATTTCACCAATAATAATTCAATACCGGTAAGGTCTCGACCAATGAAGAAGAGCTTTGTATGTGACCGCACATCACACATCAGGTAAAGTTTTTAACAAAGTAACATTTTATTTGCATGTTAAAATTGAGGAGCCTTCTTCAAAAATTTTATTTTTAGTCTATTATTTTAATGATTTGCGGAACGCTAAAGTTGTTTAGCAACATGTCTAGATGGAATTTTTTAAATTACATTTTTTTATTTGGATATTATTAAAATAGTCGAAAATTTCTTATAAAAAAACTAACAAAGAAAATGTAGAATGCTATTTATAAATTAAAATTAGAATTAATTTCAAAAGCATGGTGAATCTTTGAATGTGGGAATAACCAAGATATCAATGGAGTTGAAACAACCAATTCGAACATCATTTTGAACTCTTGACAATTGTTAAATAAAAAAAAAACATTTCAATAAAAAAAAAGTTAATTTGAAATAATTTCTTTAATTTTAATGATTTAATTCCTTATAAGATTACAATTCAATGAATAGAAATATAGACATTAAACAACATCTCAGAACCATAAGTCACCATCCCAGCTAGCATTGCCATTCACACATAGACAAACAAACAACAACACATTGAGACATTTATTGCACAGACCAAACCTGACACATATGTATACATAAATACATACATACATACAAACATACATACATACATACATACAAACATACATACATACATACATACATACATACATACTTACATACATACATACATACATACTTACATACATACATACATACATACATACATACATACATACATACATACATACATACATACATACATACATACATACATACATACATACATACATACATACATACATACATACATACATACATACATACATACATACATACATACATACATACATACATACATACATACATACATACATACATACATACATACATACATACACACACACACTCACATACATACATACACACACAAACACACACATACATACATACTGATTTTCCAAAATAACATCAATAAAATGAGCATAAACCAACAACAACGGGGATCCTCA